CTTTTAGTGTGTTGAGATGAGAATTTTTTAACTGCTTGATTAATAATGTTGGGTGAAAAGCCCCTGTCAATAGGTATTGCTTTTAAATAATTTAGTTCTTTGTCAAGGGATAGTTTGGAGGAGCAAACTTGAAGAGCACGGAAAACATAGGAATAAAATGAAGCTAACTTTTGTTTAAATGGATGACATGATTTAAAGTGTGGTGGATTGAAAAGGGTTTATGTATTCTTAAATATTCATAAGAATATATCAGTGCCAATAAAAGGTTTCTGACACTTTTAGTGCAGTATTTTTCCAAAGAGTGAGAAACAGAAGTAATGATGAGCTTAAAATAAATTGAAGTAAATCTAGCGTAGCGGCTGACGGGGATAATTTAATGTGTAGGAAAGCTTTGACTTGTAGATGTTGGCAGATACAAGCTTGTAAGCACTCAAGACCACAAAATCTAATTGCTAGTAATTCAGAATAACAATGTGGCCTTCAAGCAGGCATAACACACTTTAAAAATCACCTTCAAAAATTTACCCTTAAAACGTGCTTCCTACCATTGATATTGTAGCAAAAGCATACTTTTCCTTGCTTAAATAAGAACTGAAACTAATCTAAAATAAAACTAATATTTATTTCATAACTTCGAATTAAACAACTAGGCTGCAACTGCAGTTTATTTCATTACTTGAATTAAAACAAATAGGCTGCAATGTAGCCTTTACATTAAAACCAATCAGAAAAGAAAAACCAGCAAATACTCTTGTATTTATCGATTCTGACTTATAAATATACAACATCGGTCAATCCGCTGACACTATATCATCAGCCAATCAGCAGCAACCACATTACTTTTATCGTGGCTTGGCCTCTGATCTAATTTGCAAGAAGAAAAACCAAAACAAAACATTAAGTCAGCAATCACCCTCTTTTTCTCATTTAAGGAAAAAAAAAAAATTATACTTTAGTTCTATAATATGGACATGATACTTATTGTTCTTAGATACTGTAAACAGTTAAACAAAACTTTTTCAAATTCATAGCTTTTATAGCTTTTGTAAAAAAGTCCAAATTTGGATGCGATAAATTTGACATTAAACATCACGTTTTCTAATAAAGTAATATCTCAATGTGCTTAGTCCGATGGTTTTCTAATGGTGATGTAGAAATCAGCGGGAACCACGTTAGTTTATCGCCGATTGATCTAATTTGTATGAGGGAAAACTAAAAATAGAACGTTAAGTCAACATCTGCCTCATTTGAATACATGCATGTTAGCTTATTAACATTCTAGCGAGAAAGTGTGGATGAAAATGAGAACGACAGGAAAGTTGCTTTAACTGAAAATTAACCGTTAGTAAAACTAAATAAATCTCCACAGTGTTCTAATGGACTTGTGCAATGCCACATCAGTAAAGCTTGTCATCTTTTACATATTGAGTTAATACATTTTTTACAGTAAATAATTGTCTCCTGATTTCATAAGAGCCTTTTCATAAATTTTTAGAGGTTCTGCATAATGCATTATTGTGTTCTGGTATTTTTATTTAAAGAGCACTGATAAAAGAGAGTATTTGTATGAAATTTGTGCTTTAAATATAAGACACTATCAAGGCTAGATCATAGATGGATTTAAAATCTCACTGTTGCTGAAAGAATTATGTATTTATGGGATGCATTATTGTGATTTTGCTGTTTTCAGTTCATAACGTTTAGCAGTTGCATATGGATAGCAACTAATTTGTAAAAGAAATTTTTGTCAGGAGTGATGTACCTGAATATCAAATTAATAAAATTAAAGACCAGCCTTAAAAAGGAAACAAAAGAAGGTAAATATAGAGAATAGTTTGAATAGTCAACAAACATTTTATTAAGGAAAAGAGGGCATTACTTTTTCCAGTACTTATCAATCTATAGTGCCTCATTTTAGTAGATGTTTTAATTATATATAAAGCATGAAACTCTATCCAGTATTAAAACATTTAAACATATTCTGAAGATTAATGTCCACAACTACCAGAATCACCTTCCTGATAATTTATATTTTTGCAGAAGCTGCAAAAGTTACTAGGAAGTTGGAAAAGGTTAATCTATTTGCAAAGAAGTTTAAATGTATCCTGAAAGAGAGATATATAGAATGTGCTGATTATATGCAAAATATACTACCCCTAAAAGAACTCTGTCTTCATCATATTTAGTGGTATGAATCCTGTTCATGATGAAACAGCTATTTTCATTTCTTTGTTGAAATTAGCAGATAATTCTTGGAATGTCATTTCAGAAGACAGAAAGTTTGATTGACCAAAACATCAGAAACTATTAGATAGCCACTCTTTTTATACAAAAACAAAAATAAACTAATATAAACTTTTGAGCTGAGGTATTCAAGATAAATGAAGATGCAAAATAGAAATACCCTGTACTGACAAAACTGTTCGGTGAAATCAGTTTAGATTAGTGTTCTGAGTCTGAACAGAAACAGTTTCTATGTATTCAGTTTGCTTCCATGGACCAACTGTCGAAAATGCAATTTAATTATGTGGATGATTTTATGACGGAGTGCAGAAGGTTAATAATCTAGAAGCTGTGCATACTTTGAATGTTATTTATTTTCATTAAACAAAAACTCATATGAAGTCTTTGGGACAGAAACATCCCTCTCAAGTTCCTATTGGTAAAGATTTTAAGAAATAATTTATTGAATAAATGAACAATTCATCAAAATTATTACACTGTAAGGATCATTCTGTTTTCACCAGCAGTTCCTCTTCTCCAGTACCTGTTAATATGCCTATATGAGGTGCTAATTTAAGGGTTAAGTAGCATCAAACTCTCACTTTCAGCAAAAGTAAAGGGGGTACTTTACATTTAACAGTCACTCTGCCAAAGGGCAAAATGGGGAAGTTTGTCATGTTATGATAGCTGTGCAATGGATTTTTTTTTTAATTTTTTTAATTTATTTTTATTTTATTATTATTTTTTTTATATGAAAGCAGATTTCTGTGTACAAAGAGAGATACTGTGCCCTGGACTTTACAAAACATGCATGGAGCTGGTGAAAGGAATTAGATAAATATTCCTACTAAAATGGGAAAATGCTATTAAGTAATGCACCAAGTTGCAGACAACTTTGAATGGAAATATATCCCTATTTAATATTTATAACATAATGAGAGACTTCTGCAATATATTTTAATTTTGATGAATTATTGGGATTGTTATGACATAACTCTTATCATTTGTTAGTGATTTTTATGCTGTGTCTGTGTACAAAAGTCAAGTGCTTTTACATTGCCAAATTTATATATTCTTTTGTAGATAATGTGGACATGGGAAGTAGAAAAAATTATTAAGGAAGCTGCATTTCCTAACTTCTCTGAATTTTGTGAAAATTTTTTATTCACAGATTATAACTCAGTTGATAACAGTTTAGCAGTTTGTGGTTATTTAAGTGATAATTTTTTATTTATTTATTTATTTTTTTTTTTTTTTCAAAATATGCAACAAGAAAGGCTATGATGGCAAACGGTCTGTCTGAAGTATTTTTAGTTGTGGTAGAAATGGCAATGATGCAACTGTTTTCATGCATTTATTCTTCTGTACTTTCAGTTTGACAAAGAGTCATGTCTGATAAAATATTTAAAAAAAACTGGCTAAAATGTCTAAAATTAATCCTTTGAGTGGCATATCGGTTTGGATTTGCTTATGAAGTACTAGCTGTGTTTAAAGAACCTTTATTATTGAGGTTTATATAAGTACTTATTTTATTCTTTGTTTTCATAACCTTCCATTCATTACGTTAATATTTAGATCATTTCAAAAAAATAAGAGAGTATATTAAAATCAGCAAGGTATTATGTGCTAAAGTTACATCAGTTTTCTTTGTCAGATAAAATGATCATGCTGCTCAGCTTTGATTGACAGTTTGCCCAGTTTTGTTGGTTGCACAGTTCTTTAGGCGGGACTGGTTACGTGTTTCCCTGTTGTATAGTATACATCGGCTTGGGAATTAGTAATGTATAAAGAAGGATACTTGCATTGAAAAAACCTAAAATAATGGCTATGATGCAAGACAGCGATAGTGATGGTTTTTCAAGGTAGTGATTATGAAGAGGTAGGGGAAAAAATAAAAAATAAAAATCCAGCTGCACAGTGTACTCTGTGGTCCCATAGAAGAGATTCCAGTGGTAATTCAGTAAGGAAAGAGACCAGATATCAGTGTATAAAATGTCAGGTATCACTTTGTGTTGTCCTTTGTTTTAAAACCTATCATACAAAGACTAATATTTAACTTGGGTTCATTTGCACGAGATAACTCAGGATAGTAACCTAATATTAAAACTAAATGCATTTACACCTTCAAAAAATTAAAAATTCAACTTGAAACCTACATATTTGGATTTGTTTCATTTCGTTGTATTTAATAATAAAATTTAAAAAAAAAATCTGATGATTGTTTGCAATTTTGTTCAAAAAAATGTGTAAGGGAAGTGGTTAAGTTGTTCAGTGTATTTCTTTTCACTTTTTAGAGTTGATATTTAGAATACTTTCAATAATTAAAACTCGTCTTACTTCAAACAGTTTTGCTAATCTGTGCAAGTTCTAAAACAGGGGTGGCCAAAGTGCGGCTCGCGAGCCTGATATGGCTCTCGTAGTCAATTTGTGTGGCTTATTATGCATATAAAATATATATATGAAATATGGTAAACTAAAATTATTCAGTGTCCAAAAGGAAATAATTAATTAGTTTAGACTCTTTTTACAAAGTTATCAGGGATTTCTTTCTATTTGAAACCTCTTCCACTACTTTTATAATGATGTAAATATGAACTTGTGGCTTTTAGAAAATCTAGATGCGGCTCTCGAACATTCCTGAATTCAAACACGTGGCTCTTACTGACACGAAGTTTGGCCAACCCTGTTCTAAAATTTGAGAATTCCTGGTTTATGTTCTTCAATGTTTTTTTTGGGAGGGGGTGATTAATTCTTATTTATGTTTCAAAATCTTTTAGGAGACATTACTCCTAGCTGCATCTTGTGATTTTGCAAGTCGGGTTTGGAGTGTCACTGACATGAAAATAAAGGTAACAGTGCATTTATTTTTTATTGTAGAAATTTGACAGTGATGTAATTTTTCTTTTATTAACTGTATGTAGTATGTTTGCTGTAAGAACTGCAGTACACTAGGAAAAAGGAGCACCCAGATCTAGGTTATAAAAGAAGCCATACACATGCAGCCCTGTTAAATGCCCAAAACTCTAGAGGCAATTCAAGGAGCCATAACTCTCCCTCCCGTTCAACCCAGGGGGATATAAATGCGCAAAGTCTGGGTGAAAACAATGCTTAGTCAGTTACACAATTTTCAACAAAGAGAACACAAGTCAAAAGGGTTCTGTGCTCCAATGCTGACCAGGGGGAGCCAAGCCCTCCCAGACAACCTTCGATATCTTGACCATGTAACGTCCTCACAACCAAAGGGCAGACAAGACAGTACCAGTATGGCCAATGCCGAGACTGAACCTATCACCGTATAAATGATGGTTCTAGTGACTGTGAAGACATTTACTCCAGAAATCAAGTTTGTCTAGTTGCCTAGCCAGAATGCCTGCTGTTGCCCCCAGTTGACCACCAGGGGGATGTAAGAAGTACAAGATCAGATTGCATAAGAAATTTGATAGTCTTGTTTTGGTATTATGGTATATTGATTAATAATTTTACAGTTACATTGTAATTTTGCTTTTGTTAACTGTAAGGGGTATAACTGCTGAAGGAAGTACAAAAAAAATTCTAAGCTATATAAATCAGTTATAAGAGACTGTATGTCAGGTTCTGTAAGAAAATTGATATAACTGTTATGGTATTATGCTAAATTTGGTCAGTAATTTGACAGTGACATTGTAATTTTGCTTTTGTTTACAGTAAGGGGTATGGTTGCTGAAAGAAGACAATAAAATGCTAAGCCACATAAATTAATTTTTAGAGAATGGAGATCAGAGTGTCCAAGAAATTTGATATTCCTGTATTGTGGTATATTGGTCAGTGTATCAATCTGGTTATCAGGAGATCTTGGTTCAGCTCTCTGTGAGAGTACAGCTTGTTTCAATTCTTTTCCAAATGTGCATTGTCTGTACTATAATGCCAGAGTATATAAAATGGTAGACAATAATTTGTCATCAACTTGAATCAGTCAACTGAAGGAATTGACAACTCTTTAAGTGGGATGGATGGATGTGACGAATTATAGATTTTTTCTCATACTCTGTTTTGATGTAGTGGTCAGCATATCAGTCTAGTAATCTGAAGACTAAATCTGATTCTGAGTAAGGACAGAGGGAAATTTTCGAGGATACTTCGCTCCAAAACAGATTAATCAAAAATTCAAGAAGAAAATTGAATGTAAGTATGTACATGGCACACTTATGAGTTTTAGATTAATCATAAACAATTATTTTCAGTTGTTTAACAATCAAAAAAGATTTTGTTGCACAGAATTATGCATAATGAGTGCATTTTCTCTGTTCTCATTATGTGATTTTTTATCATTACCTCATCTTTCAAAACTATGCATGAGTTTGCTTACATGAGATTGATATATGCCAACCGACCTACTATAAATATGGGTAGCAACTTGTCTTCTGTTCCAACTACCAATCATATTTATTATATATTTTAATTGTGGAGTAATGTAATTTTTTCTTGTCATTATGTATAAATCACTACATACTAAAATCTTTTTAGTGCTTATGTTTTAGAAGTGGAAAGATATACCTGCAGAATTAGCAAAGTAGAAAGTAATAATAGTAGCAAATATTTTCTTTCATTGGCCATATCTGTTGGGTGTAAGAAAAAATTATTATTTATACCTTATTTCATAGTATTGAAAAGAGTATAAGAGTTATTAGACACACTGGATGAATAGGCACTTATGAGTGCAAGAGTAGTATTCTGAAGATACAGAAACGTTTATGCATTTGAGTTCTGTTACTTGTGATATTTTCATATTATAAAGGCACTGACATGCAAGTTTTAGAAAATAGGAAACTTTGAATTGTGATTTAAAGTTTTGTTTCAATAATTAAAACTTATTATACAACCTTCTCTTAAATTATACATCAGGAATTAAGCAAAATTATGATACATTTTAATACCTGTAGTCATAAAATTTTTTCTGATTTCTAGGTGCTTTAATAGTGTGATTTTTAAGAATTTTGATTAAAAAGGAAACTGTTAGAGAGATTAAGATCTTGGGGATTTCAGAATTTTTTGCCTCTCCAATGTTATGTATGGGGGAAAAAATGAAGTTTTCTGTCACTGGACAAATTTAATTTGAAGCAATTATGTTTCTGGTTAATATTTTAAAGATAATTTTTTGGGACTTATTTTTTTGTATTTTGAAAACTGATACTCCATTTATTATTTTTGATATAACAGTCTATTCAGTAAAGTGACCAATTTGTTAAATATGCTAGTGGTATGTTGACAATGAATTGATTTAGATCTCATAAATAAGCTGACCAGATGAAGAGAAACACTTGAACTGTTATTGCAGATTCAAAGTGATAACACTTTTTACAAATGAGCTGAAATAGATAAAAGTATAACTCTAATTTTTCTAAAGAAAGGAATGAATATCCCCAATTCAGTGCTGAAAGTAGATCGCAAATAATCATTAGCCAATTGACTTCAAATCTCTCCTGAACTCTATTTACCATTCAAATTAATGTAGTAGTTCTCTTATAAATTATTTGAAACCTCTTCTTCTTTTCTTTTTTTTTTTTTAAGCTGACTTCAGTTACACAGATTGTCATAATCCTAATTAATGGCGGAATATATATATATACAGCAAATGACACAGCAATTTGCAACATTTTATTACATGAAAGAAGTATTACATTTGTCGTGCCATGAACTGCATGAGAGGTAAGTTTCTCTGTTACGGAATGGCAACGAGAGAGAGATTGTTGTTCAAAAAGATGGATGATCGAACTGCGTTGTAACGATCATTTTTGTGGATGTTGGGTATTGTAAAATGAACCTATTACACTCTGCTAAATAGTATTAAAAAGGCATACATTAAATGATCTTTCATCTGATCTAAATTTTAACCGCTCATTATTTTCTTTTAAACTCACAATGATATTCACAACATTTCTGGCGCCCCTGGGTGGGCGTGTTTGTTGGAAACATGTCGGATGAAAGAATAGTTTAAAATTAGAAAGAAAAGTTAGAAAGAAAGTTTAAAATACTATTCTTTCCTAATTTTTATCTGAATATTTTAAACTTAAGACAAAATGGAAGTGATGAAAAGAAACAAAACTGTGCAACATTCAGCTTTTACTAAAGCATATAAAAGACTAGATGAACTTTTAAATGATGATAATGTTGATTATGAAGAAGCAGAAATGAAATGTGTTTTATTTGTTCAAGAAAAAGGCAGAAGAAACATTAGAATTGACGCACAGTGCTTGTCTAGATACTATAACTGATGATAAAGAATTCGAAACAGAATTTGAAATAACAGAGGACTATCGAGAAAAGTCTGTTAGGATACAGTTAAAATCGGAACGATTTCTCGATAATATTAAGAGAAAATTTAACGAAATCCAAAGTACAGTGTCAGAGAGTAGTCAGGAATTAGTTACTGATGAAAATACTTGTAAAACTTTGTGCCAACGCCTATCGAAAGTAGAACTTTATAAGTTTGTAGGTGATTTAAAAAAATGGCTTACGTTCTGGAATCAGTTTAAAAACATACATGAAAATAATAACTTAACGAATGCAGACAAACTCCATTATTTGATACAGTCAACAAAAATTAAATTTGAAGCTAGAGCTATTGTAGAATCTTTTCCTGTGACGAACGAAAATTATCCTTTGGCTGTAGAAAGCCTCACCATAATATGGCCGTAAAGAACTTTTAATTGATTTTTATGTTCGAGAGTTAATAAAACTTGTTTTGGATAACGCAGAAAAAAAAGAAAAAAAAAAAAGCAGGATTCTTTGAGTAGTTTGTATAACAAACTTTCAACACAACTTAGAGCCCTGAGCAGTCTCGGTGTGACAACAGATCAGTGTGGAACAATTTTATACCCTCTTGTAGAAAGTGCTATTCCTATTCATGTATTGCGATCATTTGAAAGACAACGGAAAATTACTGAATCTGAATAAAACATTTCAAGTCTTGATGCAATAATTGAATTTCTGAAAAGCGAAGTTCAGTCAAAAGGAAAAATAAAATTAAGCAGAGCGGATATTTTTTCTGTGTCTGATCGTAAGCACTTGGCAACTGGCCAAAATATTCCTTCCGTCTCGGATTTGATGAATCATGAAACAATACCTTCTTGTTCGTTTTGTTTAAAAGATCATGAAACGCGTAACTGTAAAAAGGCGTTTTATATTCCGTTAGATGAAAAAATGTCTGCGGTAAAAAAGAAAGGTTTATGCAGAATATGCTTGGTTAAAGGTCACCTCAGTAACCAGTGTCGATCAAATGTTAAGTGTCAGATCTGTTCAAAAAGACATTTGAAATTTTTTTGTCCTAGTCTTGAATGTAATAAGTCTAGTGAAATGCATAACCAGGAAAATGATGAGAAAAAAGAGAAAACAATCGATTCTTTGCATTCGCGTGCTACGAATGAAGTTTTCCTTCAGACCCTGGTTGTAAACATAGAGGGTAAGAATAAAAGGCGTAAAGTTAGATTAATGGTTGATACGGGAAGCTCAAAAAGTTATGTTTTAAAGTCTACCGCAGAAGAAATGGGTTTTGACTTGCAATCGGAGGAAGAATTTAGTCACTCTTTATTTGGTGGAATGAAAACTAAAATTTATAAACATAAATGTTACAAGATTTATTTGAGTAGCCTTGAGGGTAATTATTCGTGTAAATTAAATGCTGTAGACCATGATGTTATTTGTAATGATATTTCAAGCATAAGATAGATATGGTTCTTGGATTCGCGAATTAGGAAATAAAGGAATACGCTTAACTTATACCCAAGGGAATCCAGGCCCTATTGAAGTACTGTTAGGGGTAGACGTTGCAGGGAAGTTATTTACTGGCAAACGAGAAGAGCTAAGAACAGGT